TTTTTTTTTTGAATGATTCATTGTTGCTTTCCAAAATATACTTGAAGACACAAATACACAATTTGCACTATAGTGGAATATTGGGGAAAAAATTAATACAAATACACCAGGATTTACATTCACTGACACAAAAATGTATTGTTGAAATACAAATTAATAAGTGAATGTGTAGAATTGTATAATTACAAATTAATAGATTATGATCCACAAATGAATTTAAAGAGATGAACACAAATTAAACATATTGACAAATAAATAGAATGAGATCCACAAATACATCTTAGAGTTTCACAAACATGAATTCAATTAACAAAAAATAAAGTGAGATTTGCAAATAAAAAATATTCACAAATAACATTTTATGTCACAAACAAAACCTTGCCTGACATTCATCTGTGAATCGCATCCTGTATAATTTGTTGATCGCTGCATGCATTTGTGGATTTTGAAACATTTCTAGTGTCAAGACGCTGACAATCCACAAATGCGTGGACTCCACCCACCTAAGATGGCGGTTCTCCAAGTATTTCAGGCCAAACTTCTGCATGACTTGGACGAGTCTGGCCGAGATCCCAATGCTTTTAAGGTGCTGCGCACAGCGCCAGACCTGGGCCTGCACGCTACCAAGGTGACAGCGCAGGCTATCGGCAAGGCCATGGCCAACTTGGTGGTGCTGGAGCGCCACATGTGGTTGAACTTGACGGAGATCAGGGGTTAATTATTTCCTTGTAGCTGGCCAGTCAATCCTAGAACTGTGCCGACGTGGGACTTATCTATAGTCTTACGGGCCCTCCTTTTGAGCCGCTTCAAACGGCTGACCTGCGGCCCATGTCACTCAAGACTGCCCTCTTGTTGGCCTTAGCATCGGTCAAACAGGTTGGTGACTTGCAAGCGCTCTCTGTCAGTGCTTCCTGTCTGGAGTTTGGGCCCAACGACTGTAAAGTCATTCTCAAACCGAAATGCGGTTATATGCCTAAGGTGCTCTCAACTCCGTTTAGTGCTCAGGTCATTACCCTGTTAGCACTCCAAGTGGCAGACAGTGAGCAGGGTCCCAACCCACTTAGGGTATACGTCAAGCACTCTGACTTGTTCAGACAGTCAGAGCAGCCCTTTGTATACTTCGGAGGCTGCTCAAAGGGGCTATCTTGCTGGACAGTAGATGCTAGTTGCTGGACATTTAAAGGCTATCTTGCTGGACAATAGATGCTATCGCCCTGGCCTATGCTGTGGCTGGCTTGCAATACCCCATAGGTGTGAGGTCCCATTGCACCAGAGTAATGGCCTCTTCCTGGGCGTGGTCCAGTGGGATGTCTATTGGTGAGATTTGCGTGGCTGCCAGCTGGTCGTCGCCGTCCACTTATAGTAGATTTTACAATTTGGATGTCCCCACTTTGTAATCGTGGATCCTATCTGCTTAATCTACCTCCTTCCCCTCTTTAAATGGAAGGTTGATATTAGATATACCTCAGATTAGTGGCTCAGGTCTCCTCTATAGCTCACGCTATGGAGCCCTCAATATAGTGCAACTGAGTTGGGCTTGTAAAGCAGGCTTCGTTCTGCATCTGAGCATAGCACGGCACTGTTGGATCCGGTTACTAATGCAACCTGATTCGCTGAGATAAGGGAACGAGTGTTGCATAGCTTGCCGCGCTATAAGCTGCACTCAAATCGATGAATGACGCTTCAGTCGAATTGATTCTGATATGGAGCTCTGAGCTGGCATATATAGCCACCGGCTCCTCCCCTTTTGGTGGGTAAAAGCGCCACTGGTTTGCAGTGTTGGGAGTAACGCATTACAAAAGTAATAATATTACAGTAGTATATTACTTTTTGCTGTAACGCAGTAATATAGCGCATTACTAATAAAGTTTGGGTAATATTATTACTCGTTACAATCTCAGTAACGCAAGTTACAACAACATATTTTAACTCAAAATTAAGTGGTGAATTTACCAACACCGCAAAAAGCACCAGAGAAAAAATTCCGCAGGTAAAATAGTTTGTCTATTTCCTGTTGCTGGAATTAGATGGTTGAGATGACTGCAGAGACGGATTCTACATTTGTGAGATGGACACCCTCCTGCTATTTTCAGTTCATCGGAGAAAAGGATAAGAATGCATAGTCAAGTGCAATATGTGTGACACCAAACTCTCAACATCGAGAAATAGCACAAGTAAAACCTGGAAACACTGGACTGGTGCCACTAACACTAAGCTATCGTAGAGCTGCGGGGTCGGAGAAGAGGAAAAAAAATGGCGGCGGACGAGCGCAGACAAGCAACAAAAATTACGTTTAACTAAAAATAACAAAATCTGTTTTTATTAAATCATAGTCTATATGACTATCACTGGACTGGTGCCACTAACACTAAGCTATCGTAGAGCTGCGGGGTCGGAGAAGAGGAAAAAAAATGGCGGCGGACGAGCGCAGACAAGCAACAAAAATTACGTTTAACTAAAAATAACAAAATCTGTTTTTATTAAGTCATAGTATATATATAAAATGAATGAATATGTGAAATATTTGACTTAAATAGGCTAATTAACAGATTAACAAAACGAAAGGAAAAGACTGAGAGATATGATGCTGAGTTTGATTCACAGGCTATTTGTGTAGCGCGGTGCTCTACGAAAGACCACAGAAAAGAAACCGAGAT